ACGTAGCGTAGTAAAGTATCACCCCCGCCCCGCCCCGCCCCTCCCGCTCCCTTTGTCTAATCAACCCCCTCACCGAAACTTTCATCTTTGTTTCTCCCTGTTTCGATTTTACATTATTAATATTATTAATATTATTATTTTTATTTTGATTATTATTATTATCGTCATTTTCATCATTATCACCGTCATCTCTTCGTCGTCATTATCCGCGAAGCCATTCCAACACCGTGTCATCCTATACGGTGAGAGAACCCATCCAACACATGCTCCTAGCACATTACGCCTAAACGCTGTAAATACTTCGCGAGCGTTCACACTGTTTTTCGTTTTGAGGCCCGGATAGGGCCCCTTTTGCCTAAGAACGGTCCCGATTCTGGCCTCCAATACGCACGATCCATTCACGGATTAACTGCGCGTTTCGCGCACATTTAATCATCCCCCATGTTTTATTGTCCTTCATCATCCCCATACCTAGCCACGTCTCGTATCAACACCCTCCTTTGCATCCCCTGTTTGTGAGTCCTCGCGACGCGACAGAATCCTATTTGCCATTTACGACGACATCGATTTTAATCAGGGCTAGTACTAATTATTATTATTATTATTATTATTATTATTAATTATTATTATTATTAATTATTATTATTATTATTATTATTATTTTATGCGTTAGTTTATTTATGAGTTCCCTTTTTGTGATAGCCACACTCTCGCCTGCAGCACGCCATCGAAAACGAGGATACACGCGTACATACTCGTCCTCATACGCGACACGTCTCGACTTTGATCAATCAGACGTGCATTACTTTCCATCTCGCTTCTTCACCATTGTCCCTTCTCGTGTCTCTCGTTTACATGTTTTTGTTTCTGTCGTTCCCATTTTTAATTGTTTCCGATGGTTTCATTTAGATTTCGAGCGCACGCGCGTGACCACGCGTTCGTAGCTGACAAGGGTGTGGCTCCGTTTCTCGCTTTTTATTTCCCTTCGCCGACGCAAACACACACACACACACAAAATCCACACACGTCTACACGGAACATACGGTTGCATTGCCACCGTACAAGCACGGGACACGCGTTGATTAAGTTTGACACCACACATTAACACATACGTAGACACGAACACACGCACATACAGACGAAGATCTACGCACTCAACACACAACCATACGGTTACACGCACAAGATACAATGTTATTGTATGTCGGTCCTACTATTTTTTGTGTATATAGCTTCTTATTATTAATTATTATTATTATTAATAATTATTATTATTATTATTTTATATTAATAATATTATATTATTTTTCCGTTCTAGTCTAAAATAAAGCTATACTATCATAAGATTAATCTTTGGTTTGTCTCTTATTTGAAGTTTTCATCCGTTTGTCCTGTATTTCATCCCTCCGCCCTGATTTTCTTTCTCGTTGTTACCTGTTCTGGTAAGTTCTCATGCACGCTTGATACCGCGTTCGACGCGGTTCACGACGATGGCGTTCGACGACCGATAGACCGCGTTATTACAATGATTGTCGGCGTCGAAATCAACCGCATTTCATAGTATTCTCGCCAATTGAGCGCACACGAGTCTCTAGTCGAGAATCTAGTCATTATTACGCCGCACGAGAAGCGTGTGAGCAACGCGCGACGCTAAAGAGGAAACGGGATAGATGATGGACGTCGTGCAACTGAAAAATCGTTTGCTAATCGACAATGTGAGACGTCGATTGCTCCTAGCGTTAGCTAACTGTCCTCGTGATGGTGCGCTAAGAGGAAATTAAACGGGATTCGTACAATGTACGAATAGTACCAGGGAATAGCTATATTACTATAAAAGGAAAAAGTTTCATAGTTTGATGGTAAACGAGTATCACATGTTTCCCAGGTTGAATCACGAAGCAGATCAATTGTAGAGTAAGTGCAACCATTTTTCGCTTGATGTCACGTAAACGTGAAGTTCTCAGGCCCACTGCACACCATTAAAATGAACCTCCTGCACTCATCTCTAATGCATCGTGTCGAAAGAAACCATTTCTCAATATCCAATGAAACCAAACAAATGTTATGCTCCACAGTTGAAGTAATAACGTTCCTATCAGTTTCCAAACAGCAAACAAAAACGATCTCCCGCAGGATCTCGGCGTTAGGTGACAAGCTGCGCGACAAAAAAACACGACCGGCGAAGAGTTAATTCGGTAGTTCGACGTAGCCAAAAAAATTTCATTCGTGTTTCCTCGGACTCGGGTTTGGAATCCGAAGTTGCTTAATCCCACGGACCCACTTGGTAGATTTCAATTACTGCTGAAAAAACAATAGGCACGCGAGGGGCTGGTGGACGAAGGGGAAGCGGAGTGTACGGCTATTGACAACGATGACTTCGTAATTGTTACGTGACTTATAGGCTGACTTTCTAAGGTTTTGTCGATCGGCCGGCCGGTAATTAGTCGCGGTACTTTTTCGAGGCGTCTCCGGTACAACAATGGAGGCGATCTATACACGGCGATGCGTGGGGGAGGGCGGATGATTGCGAGTTGCGGGCACCATTGTACACACGGTCATGGTCGGCGTTGACGGGCCCGTTCACTGCCACCGACACCATCGGCCGAACGAAATTCCCCAAAGGACGCGATTCACGGGCTGAATGGAATGAGACACGTCGAAGGAAAACGAGAACAAAGGGTTCGGATATTCACTCGGAAAATTGATTCCATAGTGACGACCGAGCCGTCGGCGCATTTCAACTCGGCCGCCCCGTCCCCCTCACCCCTTTGTACGGCAGTCACGACAAAGGCGAGGTATTCCTTGTAAATCTAATAATCCTTTGTTTAGCCTCCGCGTAAACATTTCACGCGTGAAATCTGTGGATGAAATTCGTTTTTAATAAGATCGTCCCTTCCTTTTTATTAACATATCTTGGATGGAGTTTGAGAACGAATCCGTGATGAATCGTGTGTTCTTAACCTTTTGCATTTGAGAAATGACTCTCGTTTTGATATAACAAAATTATAAAGTTTTATATAGAATAAGATTTGTATAGTGCGTCAGTACGTGAAATATTGAAATAACATAGCTTCTGTTATTAATTTATGTTTTCTCATTAGTCACTTTCAAAGATTCTCATCTATACTTCATTGGAAAATATCGAATAACACTAGAGAAAAACTTTCGAGTGTAAAGGGTTAATTCACGTTGGTCACTCGTGAGATTCATTGATAAAATAATCGCAGCTATTCCTAATTGAATATAACCTATACGCCAGGTCGGGAACGCAAGAATTGCATTGTCGGGTTACAACAATTACACGCTATGAATAGAATATTAGTTCACAACAGACATTGCGTTTCTTCAACACAAGATCACAATGCCATTACTCTAATCTCGAAAAGCTCTTAAAAATCCGTTCATACCTTCGAAAAATATTCATCTCGAAATAAGCATATGAATATCCGGTAGGTATGAAAGGAATCTGCATCTTAAAGTAACGATATTATATCGTCTTCGCACAATCACCTCCATCTGGAATAGCAAATGATCCAATTCCAGAGTACCGGAAGACATAGAATATTCAAGGTGATCCCTAGTCACGTGTCTGAAAAAGAATCTCTTACCTTTCATTTCGTGAAGGGGGTAGTTCGCTAGAAGCAGCCCCGAAAAATTGGAGAGGCGCGTAAAAATTCATGACGCGAACCCTTTCTCTCTCTCTCTCTCTCTTTC